GGTAATTGACCTATTCTTTTCTTAGCAGTTTCTCATCTCAACTTATTTTTTTGAGAAGCTGTTCTCTGTGTTTCTCCCTACCTCCCTTAAGAATCCCCTTAAGGGGATTCAGTGGGGCTGTGCTCATTCTTGCGCCTGCAACTGTTCCAGTTGAATCCATGTATAGCAATGAGACATCAGACATTCCAAAGGGAGGGAGGGGGCAGGCAAACCAAAATTGGAAGCTATGGGCTATATCTTTTTATTCAAAATGCTCCCTACAAATAATAATTTTGGTACTGGTGGATGGCAGGGAATTTGGGACAACTTAGTGATGCGTCAAGCATCTGTCTGTCCTTGCCTTTCACTCAGGTCCCAAAACTGGCCTCACCATTGCCTCTCTCAAACAGGTGCCTGGCTCAGGACAGAGTGGACTGCTTCTGGCTTCCTTTCTACCTCTGTGAACAGAGGAGCACTTTCACCTCTTCCAGCCCTGAATGCAGACGGAACAGAACAGAGTACCTGGCTCATGGGAGTCTATCTCTGGAACAGGATGCATTTTCCAAGATATCCGACACAATTCACTTATTTGGGTCGGTCCCTCCTGAAGCTCTGTAAGCTAAGAGCCATTTTTCAAAATCCTCCAGATTCTTCTACTGCCTATGCTAAGAAAGGAAGTTTAGGGGCTACCCTAACAAGGCTCATTTTGGAGTGGATGCTGGAAACAGAGGCCCCCTCAGACAACAAGCCTGCCCCTTTCACACCATGCTTTGCTGTCAGTGTTGAGCCAGACAATATAGGAACTTAAGAATGGAAGCAGGTACCAGGTGTGCTTGGGACAGCCCCCATTTCTCTCCCAGAACAAGGGAATGAGGTCAAGGAGGAGAACAGGCAGGAGTTCGAGAGAGAAAAGAATGAGGGAGGGGAAACTGGAGTGAGAGAGAGGACGAGAGATCCGGTGGCAGGGGGCAGCAGCTGGGCTAACAGGCACGTGGCTTCTGTTTGTATACAGTGAGCACCTGAGCGCCACTCACTCCCTCCTAGTCCAGGTTTCATTGTTCTCCAATGTGAAGTCTTATAGCCACAACAGGAAGGACACAGCCAGCATGCTTCACCAGGACCCAGCAGCTGGGCAGACTGTGCCCCCAGGCATCTCTGTGTGCGTACTGTCTCTGTGCTTCTCAGGCAGGTGAACGGCTGGATCACAGTTGTCAACAGCCAGAGCTGCCATGCACCTTCTCCTCAAGAATTCTTTTTAAGAAACTCTGCGGGAAGACATGCTCTTCCTGAATTCTCAATTAGGCCTGGCCAGCTGCTGCTTTCCAGTGCCACCTTGGCTACCCTGCCATTTGTTGTGACTAGTGACCAGTCATGGTCATCCTGGAGGCGGTGTCATGAACAGCAGCAGCCACCTGTCTCTTGCTTGGCCTCAGCCTCTGAGACTCTCAGTTTGGCCAGGCTGAAGCGTCAGGGACTTTGCAACCTGGACAACCTGAGACACTCAAGTAGGGTGCCAGAGGTCTGCAGTGTGCAGGCCACACCACAGGTGTCAGCTCCGCTCACTGTGCAGAGGTGGCGGCTCCTCAGATGGACAGAGAAAATGCCAGCAGAGTTCCCAGGGCTCATCAGGGAGGAGGGATTCAGGTATCTGGGAGAGATCCTGCAATGAAGGGATGCACGAGGACTCAGAATCCAGGAACCAGCGGTGGGGCATCTGCTGGGTGGAGCTTCTTCGGGGCCCAGAGCCATTGCGGAGCCTGCCCTGGGTATTCCTTCCCTCACTCATGTATTTCCATGTTTTTAACTTTCGTAATGACTTATTTGAATCTGCAGTTTCAGACTTAATGGTCCACTAAATAAACTGTTCAATTAATAAAAGAATAAAAAAAAATTGGTGTTTAGCAGGAATAGAGCAAGGCTATAAACAGTAATGGTACATCTAATTACTAACTTTCTTATTGAAAGCAACTAAGAGTGCATGTTGGGGACTAGCACCGTGGCACACAGGTTAAACTCCCACCTGCAATGCCTGCACCCCATATGGGCACTGGCTGAAGTCTCTGCAGCTCCTCTTCTGATCCAGCTCCCTATTCATGTGCCTTGGAAAGCAGCAGCAGATGGCCCAATTGTGTTAGCCCTGCATCCACACTGGAGACCCTGATGAACCTCCTGAGCTTGGAGGGGCCCAGCCCCAGTGCTCAAGTGCTTGACACCCATGTGAGAGACCCATATATTGATTTCTAAGCTTCTGTCTTCAGTCTAGACCAGTGCCGAACAATATGGCCATTTGAGGAGTGCACAAGTAGATGGAACAGCATTCCCTCTCTCTACCTTTCGTGTAAGTCAGTCATAAAAAAGGGAGGAGGATGGGATCATGGGTGTGTTGGCGGGTAGCAAGACATAATGCTATGCTTCTAAATGTGTACATATGGAATGCATGAAATTAGTTCACCCTATATAAATAAAATCACACGAAAATAAAGGCACAAAGAATGCATATCCTTAAACAAATGTCAGCAAACGTAAAATTATTTGTTCTGATGGAATGCATGTGGAGATGTAAAGAAAACTGCTTTGTAAGGAGAACAGTTAGGACTGGCACTGAAGCTTACCCGGTTAAACGAAAGCCTGCATTACTGTATTCCATATTGTCACTGGGTAAATTCCCCATTGCTCCACTTCTGATCCAGCTTCCTATGGATGTGCATGGGAAAGCAGCACAGGATAGCTCAGTGGTCGGGCCTCTGTCATTCATTTCAGAGACCCAGATGGACTCCCTGAATCAAGTTTTGCATTTGCCCAGCCTTCAGCATATGTGTTCATTTTGGGAACGAACAGCAGATGGAAGGCATCTTTGTTTCTACCTCTCTCTGTGTAACACTATTGTTCAAATAAAACCAAGTAATCTTAAAAATAAAAGTTGACATTATCACAGATATGCACACGCACACACACACACATAGACTGACAACTAGAACAAACTAGCTTTCCTCAGTGAGAATTTATAGTAAATTTTAAAAGTACTTCTTGTACAAATTTGCTTTTATTACTGTCTATGAATATTCAATGTTTATATTTAAAAGGAGGAATGAGGCTGAAGTCAGATTAAAAGTATGTCTCTGTGTGTGTGGCATTCAGATAATATGTTGTAAAAGTGCAATGATGACAGTAAAGGGTTTGGCAGTCAAAAACACAGTGGATTTTCAGTATATGTTTTAACCACTATAAATGTTAATATCCTGATTTGTGATGCATCGGCAATTAGAATGTCTAGTGTATGAAATAATAACTATGATAAAGAGGTATACTAAAGCTGTGCTTCTACCAGCCCACTATCCTCACACATATGATGCGTACTTCATCTCTGTAGTATTTAAATGAGTTGCTGAATGCTGTCATCTCCTTTCATGATGAGATACCGGGTGCAAAGCACAGTGCTGCATAAACAAATTTAAGCTCAGGACTTACTGAGGAACTTCAAGGTCAGACCGACTGTACTGCTGTCCAATTCCACTTAGATGTTCAAGCAATTTCAATGTCTCTAATCAATCAAGGGTACTGTGTATTGACTGAGCTTAAGAAAATCCTCTACTGTTTCAACATCAATGTGAGGACATCAATTGCCATTCATTTTAGGAATACAAGTCTTAAATAACCAAAATGGAAGAAATTCACATGTATGATGCTAACAGGCACAGATTAATTTGTACTACATGACAAACAACAATAAGCGACCCAGACTACATTCAAGCAGAACAAAAACTTATGGCTTGGGGTGCACCTTTATATACAGGTGTTTGTCCTGGGTCACTTAACACATATCCATCCTTCCTACTGTCACTGGAGAAGTGCGTGTTCACCTGTGTGTCTGCACAAGCTCGGAGAGGCCAAGTGGTGGGTTACCATGGCCTTTGGCTCACCCATGAAGGATCTTACTTCCTTCTTTCCATAAAAAGCCTGCCCTCCAGCCAGACAATGCAAAGACAGAGCACTGGGGGAAAGTTGGGACAAGGTCTGGGTTATGTTCAGAGAAAGATTAAGAAACATGTGATGAACTACTAGTCAACATGGAAGGACCGAGAGGAGATGAATGCAGGACAGAAGGGTATTAAAATTCATGTGACTTAAGTTCCGCATTTCACTTTTTTCCTGTGTCAAGCACATATTCATAGATGTTCTATATAGGAGACAGTAGTGTGGAAGCATTAAGTGGAATGGGTGAAATTCAGTATCTGCCTGGAAGAACTGTGAGATTACAGGTATTCAAGTATACAAGAAATTAAAGGTAGGTATTTCATAAGATAGACGAGGCCTCCACATGGGAAGAGAACGAGAATACCTTACATCTTCTCTCAATAGAGCAACCCATTACTGGATAGATCAAGGTGTATAACGTTTTCTTTGTGTTCTGAAAATCTCTCTACCTATACTCTCCTCTTCACAAAGTTACCACAGAAGCCCTCTCAGTGTCCTCTTCCTGTTGTGGGATTCAGAGTATCGGGGAGTGTCCTGATGATGATGAAGTGTGCTCTGGGTTCCCTGGGCTCCTCACAGCTCTGTGGATGTTTTGTTCAGAACTGGTTTTTCACGTTGTTGAGGGTTATTTAGAAGCAGCACAGTAAACCTGCTCCATCTATGTCCAGCCCAGCTTTGACTGTTTGTTCACTGGAATGCTGCATTACACTGGACACCTGAATTCAGGCCCTGTGCCTGCCCGGCTGTGAGACAATCAATTCAGGAAATGTTGGAAGCTTGTCTTATTGCTCTCAGTCACCTCTCAAAATCTCCTGCAGGGTTTGTAAACTGAGGACAATTTATATGAAACAATGCTTAAGTGATCTGCTGAAAATAGAAGGAGGGCACTTGATGTGTCCATGAGTTAGTGATATAACCTTGGATATGAACCAGACCTTGCAAAAACTCTATGCTACACTTAATACTTCGCAGGCGGTCACTTGGGGCATGAAAATTTGATGCTGTAAGAAAGAGAGTAAGATGTAAGATTTATTTAAATTTCCTAAAGTGGTCATGAGAGTCCTCTAGAAGGCAACTCATAAATAAAAACAACCAGCCATGATCCAGGACAGGAGAGAAAAGCCCTGTGTCCCTCTTATGTAGTTGCTTATATTTAAGGAAAAAGTCTGCACTTAAGGGTTCCTAGTGAATACCGTGGAAAATTTTTCCCAGAGGATTGAGCAAAGTCATCTACTCAATACGGGTCTTGGAGTAATTGGGGTTTCTTACTTGTCTCTTTCCATTCATACTCCTCAAAAAATTGGCTCTCTTTTACCTGTGGAGAGGAATGGATCCCATTCTAAGGAGTCTTCTGATAACTGTTGGTGGGAGTGTGGAGATAACAGGGGGACTAGGGCTTCTTAGTGCTGATAGGCTGTCTCAGGAGGGCGTGGCTGCTCGCTAATGGGGGCTGGTAAGGGACTAGATTACTAGTGTGGGGATTTCTGCCTATCTAGCTATTTCTCCTTGTATCCAGATGTCTTCCTGGTGGACTTCTTTCTTTTGTTCCTCTTCTCCATCATGTGCCTCTTGCTTTCGAGCCAGGTGAAGGCAAGATGGAAAACCTGGCAACTAAAGTCCCCCTTGACCCCATGCTTCACATGGTCTACAAGGTCCCCCAGGCTGGAGAAGACTTGGCAGCAGGCCATGCACTTGAATCCTCTCTCTGGGGTCACCAGCCACTCAGGTGTGCTGGCCCTCGCCTGCAAATTCTCTTCTGCAGCTGACAACACTGCCTGGCAGCTGGAAGCCTCCTGATCCTGTTCTTTGTCTTCCACACTGTACGTGGAGTCATCAGTTACAAGATACTCTGAAGACTGATAGCAAAAGCTGGGATCTGCACGAATCTTGACAGGAAAAGCTACATCTTCAATTTCTGATCTCTTTCCGGGAGGCACAAGTTCATCTTGAGTGTAGCAGACAACGCTGGCATTTCTTTTCCTCTGGACTCTCGTGTAATAGACTTTCATGAGCCTCTCCTTCCTCATATGTGTTTCTGGTGTGCAGGGCTCATGAGCCAAATGGAAATTAAAGCAGCGGCACTGGGTCGGGTAGGGAGTCTGATGTTGCTTCAGATCCTGGAGTAGAGGTATCTTCCTAGACTGGATACACAGGGCCTCTTTTTTTGATTTGCAGATTTCTAGGCAAGAGAACGTCAAATGTAAGAATGCTGGCAGAACGTCCTGAAATCTGTGGGGTTCAAGTTGGTCTGAGGGTCATGTGTGTGAGAGGCACAGTCTTCTATGTGTGAGGTGAGGTGTTTGGTTACCATCTCTTAGTATGTGGAAGAGAGTGCACTGAGTCTGGTGGAGGCTGATGTGTTCTGTTATATATATGGTCATTTTTGGGTGTTGCTGAAAGGAAATTATGGTGTGTATGTATTCTCTGCCATGACATGCATTCTGTGGGGTGTGTGTGTGTGTGTGTGTGTGTGTGTGTGGTCAATGTCTTCATGGTGTAAATGTTGTGTGGTATTTGTGTATTTGTGTGTGTGTGTGTCTGGTGAACGGGCTTGTGCCTCTGTAGGTCTAAGAGATGGTAAATGAACATGTTGGAGAACACACACAGAAGACTCAGCATCTGCATTTCTTTGAGGGCTGAGGGGCATTTTAGACACAATGACATGTGAGGAAATGCTGTGCGCCTATCTGTGAGTGAACTGAGTGAATTTTGTTCAGACATACATGTATTCTAGAGCGTGACTTTGAACTAGGAAGATCGATGTGTTATTTCTGTTAGAGGATGTGAAATGATGAAATGTAAAGGAACGCTGCTGCAGGAAAGAGAGTATGAGAGTGTTCATATAAAATATCATAAGAGTGAATGATGCCAGCGTCGCAGCTCAACAGGCTAATCCCCCGCCTGCAGCACCAGCACCCCAGGTTCTAGTCCCGGTCGGGGCACCGGATTCTGTCCTGGTTGCCCCTCTTCCAGGCCAGCTCTCTGCTATGGCCCAGGAGTGCAGTGGAGGATGACCCAAGTCCTTGGGCCCTGCACTGCATGGGAGTCCAGGAGAAGCACCTGGCTCCTGCCATCAGATCAGTGCATTGCGCCAGCCGCAGCTTGCTGGCCACAGCGGCCACTGGAGGGTGAACCAACAGCAAAAGGAAGACCTTTCTTCTGCCTCTCTATCTCTCACTGTCCACTCTGCCTGTCAAAAAAAAAAAAGAGATGAATGAAAGGAATGGAGGTGGATTTGAGGGGACTTCCCAGAGAAACAGAAAATCTGGCCATCTATGATATGGAGCTGGAGGAACAACTGCATGAGGAGACTGCGTCAGTGTGCTAGGAGAAGCTCGGCCTACACCGTCATAATGTTAGCTCAGCCCAGGGCTCAATTAAAGCCATCTGAATGATGGCAAATTGTTACTGAGAACTGTGAATCATTCTTCTTACACTCCCTATGGGTCTCTTCCTGGAGTCCTCATCCTAGTCTCTGTGCCCTGAAACACTCTCATATTGTGAGCACAGTGCAGAGTGAGCAGGAGTTGGCACGGGGATCTCAGCTGCAACATTCATCAAAATTCATATTTTCCCTTAGAATCTGCCTTACCTTTTGTTTCCACAGCAATGGAATCACTCAGAGAAGAAACAAAGCAGTCAACATCAGAGTTGGAGAAATATTCTTCTGACTTAGGATGGGATGAGAATGTCGCACATGACTCAGAAGCATTCTCCAGCGCCTTAGATATTTCTGTGGAACAGGATGACAACATGACAACCCTGAGATGCAACTTCATCTGGGTTCTGCATCTATTCAAATGAACAGTGCACAGAATGCATATATTGTTTAAGGCATTTGTCCCCAAGGGGCCTTGCTGTCACAGGAATAGAGATGATTTCAGCATTCAGTGAATACCAACCAACTGCTCTGAGCTGCATAAGTACCCTGACCACAGTCTGCCTCCTGGACAAAGGTTCTAAAGAAAGTGTTGTATCTGGGTGTTGAAGGCTAAGTGGACACAATGCATACACACTGTTTGTGGAGTCCCTTTTGATGCACCTGTTGAAAATATGCTGTCAGGGTGCAATCAATGTAAGAAATTGTAACATTCATTTATCTATGTCTCCTTCATTCTCGTTAACAAATGCATGATCGCTGTGAAAGGTTGCGTAATCCTGCCCTCACAAACTGTTCATGTCTCCATCAGGAAAGCCCTAGGATGGTCCCTAGTATGTCAAGGATGATTTTACAGATGGTACTGAATCATGGATTTTGAGGTGGGGCGATGATCTTTTACCACATATGTAGGTTATAAATGCCATCCAAAGGATACTTAATAGAGGGCATGAAGGTCAACAATGGGTGAGTTCTGACAGATGGAAGCAAGAGCTGGAGCTAAGAATTGAGAAGCTATCAATCCCAGAGTACTAAGACCATAATCCAAGTATTAACAAGCAAGGGCATTCTCCACTACAAGCAACAGGGGACTGACCAGTCCTGCAAATATAAAGAATGCGAACCTCGCAAGCCATATTTGTGTTATCTGTCCCCCTGCTGCCGGTCTGTAAGAGAACAGTTTACAGCATGTGTATTTCTAATAGGTAAGCTCGCGGTGATATGTAACAGTGCTTTACACGGTATAAGCTTATATACTAAGCTTGAATTAAGGCTTTTTCTAACACACGGGAGGTCCCTACATACCTAATACTCTTAGGTCCCTAGTTCATAGTTGCTGGTAGGACTAGTTTTATCCATAATCTGAACAATAGCAGGACCTTAGAATATGACTACTTTGGGTCATTGACATGGTGTTGAATTCAGCAATTTAATCAGGGCTGATTTATCAGTTCTGAATTGGTATTATTGTTTTGGGGATTTAAGCCATCGAAGCTTATATGCAGTCACATACTCTCAAAGACTTAGCTCAGAACTTGTTCCTGAGGGCCACACCATGAGTTCTGTCGATTTTATCGTGTACAGACTGTGTCAGCTACTGTTGCACTTACTTCTTCCTTTGATAACCTTTTTAAATGTCTTTATTTCACCCCTATTCTTGTAAGAGGGTGACTGCTCTTATGGGTACACTACTTCACTCTGGGACAAATGTTAAACAGCTTGGAGACCACACGTCTGTTTCCCTCTCCTATATACTGGTGTGCCCCACCTCAGCTCACACTGCCCTTACCAGAAATAGGGGATACATGTGAATCTGAGTGGCCGAGGTGGCAATCCATTTCATCAGATGTTTCATCGGACTTCTTGGCCAGGGTCTTTTCCTCCAAAGAGTACGCAGGTTGTGCATCACACTGGTGTAGGGTTGAGCTTTCTGGAACAAGCAACAGTGGTCATGAGTGTACACATGTGGCAAAGCTCATTGCTTTTTCCTATTCCTGCATATTCTCAAGGTCACGTATTGAGGTCTGAGAACAGACAGGGCTCCAGACATCATACAAATTCACACCTATAATATCCTAACGCATGTGTGCACCAAAGCACCTGACTTGTCACTTGGAGTTTGATAATGTTGAGTTGTCATGCATTGGGGTTTTACTCCATCACATGCACCAAAATTCTGCTCTGGAAGAGTTAGTTTTTTCACTATAGAACTGTGATGTTCTGCCAAACTTCACTTTCAAAACTCCCGACATGCAGCGTAACTGCTTTCACAGTTGAGTTTTTTGGGGGTCTCTCTTCCATACACAGTGAAACCAACATCACTGAGAAAACTGCTCTGTTCCTATAGGGACACTGTTGCTTTTATCCTCCATCACTGCTCTCTTGCACTGAGCCCAAGCAACTCTCTGCCACACAGTGTAGACGTTTTGTCCTAAAAGTTCTATCTACCATGTACCAGGGCCTGGTGTCTTTCACCTGTCTGTACTTCTTCACAGCTCTTGACCTCTATACCCTCAAAGCCACTCTCTGTCTTGAGATGTCATATTCTGCTTGCCCACACTTCTTCTGGCAGTTTTCCTCTCTCATTACAATATGCCTAGAAGAACACTATCTCAAATGAAACAATACAATATTTTACTTTACACAATACATATTCATCATTCAAATTTCACTGTTGCTCTTCTAAGTCATCACAGCTCAACACTCGGTATTTAAATCATAAGATGTACTGGGGAGGAGGCAAGATGGCGGAATAGGAAGGGAGCACACTGATAGTCCAGGGAGAGACAGTTTAATAAAAGTGGAGATACTGCAGGTTCAAGGAAGAGTAGGGGAGGAAACAGCAGAAGAAACTCTTCCGGAACGTGTGATTCACAGTGGACCTGTGTCGAGAGCGTGGGAACCCACAGTTCGGGACACCAGTGGCAGACTCAACACACCAGCGCTGGAACGCAAGGTGAGCCGAACCTCAATATCCCGAGCCACCGGCAGGCAAGTGGAGAGAGGAGACTAGAGGGAACGACACCCGGGGCGGGGGGAGTTCACCAGGCTAACTCGAAGAGAGAGAGAGAGAGAAAAAAAGGTGACTGGTACGGACACGGGCTTCTCTCTCTCTGCTCACCTCTCAAGGGTGAGCAAGACAAAGAGCATGCGCCATCTTGGACATACGTCATAAGCAGAGCGACCTCAGGTCTGCACCGGCCCTGAGCCTAGCAGAAAAACCTGACTCTGGGCAGGGCGAATTATCAGGAGATTAGGACCTAGTAAATTTTTGGTGCTACTGAACTGAGACTGTGAAAACAGAGATGGTGGGGGAGAGAACTCACGGAATTCACGTGGGCACTCTCCAGAGATGCTGCAATTCCATAACTTTGGCAACCCAGTGGGAGACTGAAGGAGAATTTGAGCCCACTTTGAGGGCAGAACAGATTCCCTGTGTGGTCGTTGGGAAAGAGTTTCTGATCTCTGGCTCCTGTGGGTATATCATTTGCCTGCTAACTACCTCCAACTTCTTTCAGCTGTGCGGAATTACTTCCCTTTTGAATCAAAAAAAGAAAGACAGAAAGAGAAAGAGATCTACCATGCCTAACCTGGGAGTGTCACCTTTGGCACACCAAACAGAGCTCTCAGTCCACACCCATCTCAAGCCTCTAAGGCTCCATCAAAAACAGACAGTCCACTTAATCTAGAGTCATAGTATACCAAGAGAAAGCACCACAGTGAAGAAACCAAATATCTCCAATATGCCAAATAACAAATGCAAAAACCGAGGTAATAAAAACAAGGAAGTCACCATGACGCCCCCAAATGAAAAGACACCCCAATTCAAGATTATGAAGATGATGAGTTAGAAGAAATGCAAGAAGCAGATCTCAAAAAATTGATAAGAACATTAAGAAGTTCTCAAAAACAAATTCTTGAACTACAGAAATCCTTAATGGACAAGGTAGAAAATCTCTCTCGTGAAAATGAAAAAAAAAAAAAAAGAAATATTAAGGAAGAATCAAAATGAAATGAAACAACTAATACAACAGGAAACTGTGATAGTGACGAGAAATCATAATGAAGTGAAGAATTCAATAGATCAAATGAAAAACACAATAGAGAGCCTTACAAACAGAATGGGTGAAACAGAAGAGAGAATATCAGACAACTTATATTTTATCAAGGATCTAAAATCAATTCCTGGAGCAAGGACAGTCTATTCAATAAATGGTGCTGGGAAAATTGGATTTCCACGTGCAGAATCACGTCACGACCTGAAAGCATCAAGTTATTGGAGAACCTTGGAGAAACCCTGCAAGATATTGGCACAGGAAAAGGATTTCTGGAAAAGACCCGGGAGGCACAGGCAGTCAAAGCCAAAATCAACTATTGGGATTGCATCAAATTGAGAAGTTTCTGTACTGCAAAAGAAACAGTCAGGAGAGTGAAGAGAAAACCGACAGAATGGGAACAAATATTTGCAAACTATGCAACAGATAAAGTGTTGATAACCAGAATCTACAAAGAGATCAAGAGACTCCACAAAAACAAAACCAACAACCCACTTAAGAGATGGGCCAAGGACCTCAATAGACATTTTTCAAAAGAGGAAATCCAAATGGCCAACAGGCACATGAAAAAATGTTCAAGGTAACTAGCAGTCAGGGAAATGCAAATCAAAACCACAATGAGGTTTCACCTCACCCTGGTTAGAATGGCTCACATACACAAATCTACCAACAACAGATGCGGGCAAGGATGTGGGGAAAAAGGGACACTAACCCACTGTTGGTGGGAATGCAAACTGGTCAAGCCACTATGGAAGTCAGTCTGGAGATTCCTCAGAAACCTGAAGATAACCCTACCGTTCGACCCAGCCATCCCACTCCTTGGAATTTACCCAAAGGAATTTAAATTGGAAAACAAAAAAGCGGTCTGCACCCTAATGTTTATTGCAGCACAATTCACAATAGCCAAGACCTGGAACCTACCTAAATGCCCATCAACGGTAGACTGGATAAAGAAATTATGGGATATGTACTCTTTAGAATACTATACCGCAGTAAGAAACAACGAAATCCAGTCATTTGCACCAAAATGGAGGAATCTTGAACACATCATGCTGAGTGAAATAAACCAGTCCCAAAGGGACAAATACCATATGTTCTCCCTGATCGGTGACAACTGATTGAACACCAAGAAGGAAACCTGTTGAAGTGAAATGGACACTATGAGAAATGGTGACTTGATCAGCATAGACTTGACTGTTAATGAACAACTTAATACATTATCCCTCTTAGTAGTTTTTTTTTTTTTGTCTGTTCTACTTAATATGACTGGTTTAATTCTGTAATTAATACACAGTTATTCTTAAGTGTTGAAATTTGACTGAAATGTGATCCCTGTTAAACATAAGAGTGGGAATAAGAGAGGGAAGAGATGTACAATTTGGGACATGCTCAGGCTGACTTGCCCCAAATAGTAGAGTTAGAAACATACCAGGGGACTCCATTCAATCCCATCAAGGTGGCATGTACCGATGCCATCTCACTATTCCAAGTGATCAATTTCAGTTCACAATTGATCATAATGAAAGGACTAAGAGTCAAAGGGAGCACATAAACATGTATAGTACCTTCTAACACTAACCGATAGAATAAATAAAGGGGAGAGTGATCCAACATGGGAAGTGAGATACTCAGCAGATTCATAGAATGGCGGATGTCCTAAATAGCCCTGAAGGCATTCGGATCTGGCTGAAAATCCCATGAGAGTATTTCAGGCATGGAAAGACAAGACACTCTGGCAAAAGATCTCTGTGAGTGACATCCCAGTGGAAAGAACAGGTCTTCAAAGAAGGAGGTACCTTTCTCTGAAGGGAGGAGAGAACCTCCACTTTGAATATGACCTTGTCTAAACAAGATAAGAGTCGGAGAACTCAGAGGGCTTCCATAGCCTTGGAAACTCATGACTGGAGCATAGGGAGATTACTGATGCCATAGACAGGAGTGTCAATTGGTAAAGTCAACAACAGGAGTCACCTTGCACTTACTCCTCATGTAGGATCTCTGTCCTTAATGTGCTGTGCATTGAGATTTACTGCTATAACAAGTACTCAAACAATATGTTTCACTTTGTGTTTTTATGGGGGTGCAAACTGCTGAAATCTTTACTTAATGTATACTAAACTGATCTTCTGTAAAACAAAAAAAGGAAGAAAGAAGAAATTATCAATTCCCAAATTGGCTCTCACTGGGATTAAACATGACAATAGGTCTGATCTGATTTCATCATCATTTAAAAAAATCATCTATTATTTTTCACTTTATGTTTCTGTGTGGGAGCAAACTGTTGAAATCCTTACTTAATGTATACTAAGCTGATCTTCTGTATATTAAGATAATCAAAAATGAATCTTGATGTGAATGGAAGGGGAGAGGGTGTGGGAGAGGTGAGGGTTGTGGGTGGGAGGGACGGTATGGGTGGAAGCCATTGTAATCCATAAGTCGTACCTTGGAAATTTATATTCATTAAATAAAATTTAAAAAAAAAAGTTCACTACGATGAAAATTACAAAACCTTAAAGAAAGAAATAGAAGAGGATACCAACAAATGAAAAATCTTCCATGCTCATGGATTCGAAAAATCAATATCATCAAAATGTCCATTCTCCCAAAAGCAATTTATACATTCAATGCAATACCAATCAAGATACCGAAGATCTTTTCCTCAGATCTGGAAAAAATGGTGCTGAAATTTATATGGAGGCACAAGAGACCTCGGATAGCTAAAGCAATCTTGTACAACAAAAACAAATCCGGAGGCATCACAATACCAGATTTCAGGACATACTACAGGGCAGTTGTAATCAAAACAGCATGGTCCTGCTACAGAAACAGATGGATAGACCAATGGAACAGAATTGAAACACCAGAAATTAACCCA